TCTTAGCACTCAAAATTAATTTTATCTGACTTCTTTCTCTTGTAATGCACCGTATCTCAAGCATGTTCGAGGCTTTTCCACACGTTCATTAACTTAGCGTTCCTAAATTCTTGTCTTGCTGATTTTTTTCAAAAAGTATCGATTGATCTTACCAACTCGTTGCTGTTCGTGGTCAGGAGGAGCATCATTCTGGTTTGAGTTATCGTAGCGATAATCTCACTGTAATTATCCGCAAGTGTCGTGGTTAAATCGTTTTTCTTTTCCTATGGATCACCGTTCAGTTTACAAAACTTTTGTTCAACCGGAATGTTTAGGTGACTTTGGATGGGAGAAGTGCAAGATGAAGATGAGGATGGTATGCTTTTACGGCTGCCGAACGAACTGCTGCTTCTGATATTTACGCATGTGCGAGGCCGTCATTTGGTGAACAATGTTCGATTGGTTTGTAAGAAGTTTCGCCGACTTCTTGACAATCAACAATGGTGGCTCAGCCGTATCCATGTGAGTTCCTTCTTTTTCGGGACCCTCCCTTTTCTTTCTAGCATTTTTTTTTTGATCTAGGCATTTTCTCATTCTTTTAGTTTTTTATAATGACTATGTTACACATAAAACTCATTATATTCGAAAGTACAAGCTTTTTCTAGCATCCGTTTTAGCTTATACTCTTTCCTGTTCACCTTTATGTTGAGGGAATTTTTCATCTTATTGCACTGAGGAGAGCGTATCTCTTCGAAGCTTTCCTACTGCATTTTGTTACATCATCAGCTGTGTATCTAAGCCGCACTTTCAGAGAATGCCGCAGAATATTCGGCTCTCCGAATCTCATATGAAAGCAGATGATTTCAATGCTGCACAAAGTTTTGTGGCTATCGAGGAAGAGACTTGTCGATGGACTAGGTGGATGCCGGGTAGAAAGTGAATACAAGGTTCTTATCAGAATTTTGTATTGTATTGTATGCATTTCAGCTTAATTGCTTCTGGCCACATCGCCACGGTTGATGCGCTGCGTTTGTTTGCACATCGCGCCTCTAGTAGTCGGTTTTGTCTCTCTGGAGGTAGAGATAGAGCCATAAAGCTTTGGAATATCGGAGATTTGCAGGTGTGTTTGCCATATTTTGCATATAATTTATTATGTGTTTGATTTAGGAATCTCAAATT